AGGGTTCAGTCCTCGGGGAGGCTGGTGGCCAGGGCCCTGGGCAAGCACCAAATTGTAGTTGACAGCATTTGATTCTTGATATTCTGTGTCAGTTCAGTTCAGTCGCTCAGTCGTGTCTGACTCTGTGACCCCATGGACTGCAGCACGCCAGGCTGCCCTGTCCATCACCAACTCCCAGAGCTTACTCAGACTCATGTCGATTGAGTCGGTGATGCCATCCAACCATCTCATCCTCTGTCATCCCCTTCTCCTCCTGCCTTCAATCTTTCCCAGCATCAGGGTCTTTTCCAATGAGTCAGTTCTTCGCATCAGGTGGCCAAAGTATTGGAGTTTCAGCTTCAGCATCAGTCCTTCCAATGAACACCCAGGACTGATCTCCTTTAGGATGGACTGGTTGGATCTCCTTGCAGTCCAAGGGACTCTCAAGAGTCTTCTCCAACACCACAGTTCAAAAGCATCAATTCTTTGGTGCTCAGCTTTCTTTATAGTCCAACTCTCACATCCATACATGACTACTGGAAAAACCATAGCTTTGACTAGACAGACCTTTGACGGCAAAGTAAGACTTCTGCTTTTTAATATGCTGTCTAGGTTGGTCACAGCATTTTTTCCAAGGATATTCTGTGTAGAGCTGTAGTAAAAAGTCTTGAGTAAAGATCTTTGAGCACTTTCCTGATTATCTCCTAAGACAACTCTGGAAGCCGGTTGCTTTCCCTGAGGCTTTTGCCGGCGTGTCGTGTCTGGGTCTCACACAGGCCCTCTGGTTCACACGGCTTCCCACTGTGATCCCTGCATCATTCTGGAGAAGGTCATGGGTCTCTGCTGACTTGTCCTTCCACATGTTTAAGCTCTCTAGTTTCAGTGAACCCTCAATTACTGTTCTGTCTCTAATACAACGAGTCATGAGAGCTGTTCAAGTTCCCATCACATTTCTTAAGCTCCTATTTTGGCCTGAATTATGGTTCCCCCGATTCATATGTTGAAGTCCTAAGCCCTGGCACCTCAGAATGTGACTGTATTTGGAGATAAAGCCTTTAAAGAAGTAATTAAGATAAAGTGAGGTCATATGAGTGGGCCCCGATCCAATATGACTGGTGTCCTTATAAGAAGAGATTAGGACCCAGACACACACAGAGGGAAGGTCATGTGAGGACTTAGGGAGAAGACAGCCATTCACCGAGCCCAAGTGGAGAAGCCTCGGAAGAAGCTGACTCTGCCAACCCTTGATCTCAGGCTTCTGCAGAATGTAAGAAAAGAAAATTCTGTTGCATAACCAGCCAGTCTGTGGGACTTTGTTAAGGCCAGCCTAGGAAACTGTGTATGTGTTCGGTCGCTGAGTCGTGTGACCTAGGAAACTAACAGAGGCCAAATCTCACCCTTCCGGAAATGTTCTCCGGAAGGTTTCCTTCTCTGTAGACCCCAATTAAGCTCAACTGGGAGCTACTTTGATTTATAAAATTTGGTTTATAACACCGTGAGAGGTTCCACTTTCTGAGAGAGACAGCAGTCAGAGTGGATTTACTTTCTTTCTTTAAAAAAAAGTCATTTAGTCTTATTCATTTTTGGCTGTTCTGGGTCTTAGTTTTGTGTGCAGACTCTCCAGTTGCAGCTAGCAGGGGCTACTTTTCATCGTGGTTGGTGTGCAGGCTTCTCATTGCAGTGGTTTCTCTTGTTGCAGAGCACGGGCTCGGTAGTTGTAGCACATGGGCTCAGGAGGTGTGGCTCCTGGGCTTCATTGCTTCTCCTCATGGGGGGTCTTCCCAGACCAGGGATCAAACCCATGTCTGCTGCAATTGGCAGGTGGATGCTTAACCACTGGGCAATGAGGGAAGTCCCCACAGTGGATTTGCTTAACCAAATCCCTTTGCTTTCCCATCAAGAGCACATTACTAAGTGGATCCCACCCTCCGTGGTGTTCAGCCTCTCTGTAGAAGTGGTCCATCTCTGCCCAGCACCCAGGACTCCCATCTGTGCTTCTCCCTCCCCACTTAGGAGACACTGAGGACACTCAGTGGGTATAACCACATCCCTGCTTTTCTCCAGGGAGGCTGGCCGCACCCCTTCTTTCTGCTGAAGTTGACTGATGGTGAGGACGATGGATGTCTAAGTTCCCGTCCTGGTGGGGGAACTGAGAATGGGTTCCCTCTGATTTCTCACAGAGATTCTGTGAAGCAGCCAGCATGCAAAGTTTTCTAGCGAGATGGCATAAGACAGAAAGGCTAAGGAAGAGTCAGTATCTGAGGCTGGTCATGTCTCATTCCTGTTAGGTTTATGCTCTCACTGAAGCAAAATTCCACCTGTGGGATTCTTAGACATTTTGGGGTGTTAGGGTGTCTGTTCCACCTTAGCCTGGCCTCCCTGGAGACTCCTGTCCCCTGTGTGGGGCACGACCAGGCTGGGCTGGACAGGTCCCTTGCTTGATGGGGTGTTACCGTGGCCAAGCATGGTTCCTGTGTCATTTGGTTAAATGGAGACTTCAGGTCGCTGTCTCAGGGGTGCCACCCTATGACTGGAGGGTGCTACTGGGCCCAGGACAGGCCCAGCAGCCCCACCATTTCTGCACAAAGCCAGGGTCCTCATTGCTCCGTGATGTCCAGGGTGGCCTGGAGCCTGCACCAGGCAGAACCAGGAGCCTTCATTTCCAGTCTGGAAGATGGCCAAGGATGCTTGAGTGGAAGCACATGTTGACAGATGTTCAGGCTTTTCTAGCAGAATATTGGAATTGTGCATTTTGGCCAAATAAAATTGAAATTTTCGCCAAAAGAGGAAGAAAGAAAGAAAGATTCTGTGGCCTCTTGTATTCACTTGTTATAAACTACATTGGGCTTCCCTGGTGGCTCAGTGGTAAAGAATCTACTTGCTGATGCAGGAGATGCAGGTTCAATCCCTGGGCGGGGAAGATCCCCTGGAGAAGGGAAATGTTACCCACTCCAGTATTCTGGCCTGGAGAATTCCATGGACTGTATAGTCCATGGGGTTGCAGAGTCAGACATGACTGAGTGACTTTCATTTTCACTTTCACTTCCAGTATTCTTGCCTGGAGAATCCCTTGGGCAGAGGAGACTGGAGGGCTACAGTCCATGGGGTTGCAAAAAGTTGGACATGAATGATTGATTGAGCACACACAAACTCCATTAGGTATCTTGTGGGATCAGGACATCCATGGCTTTGGTACCAGTCTCTTTTAGTGATAATTTTCAAAATCTATACATTCACAGGTGAAGGAAATGTTGTAATTCACACATGGACAAAAGTCATCCCACAATCCCCCACTTTTACAGAATTGCCCCAATGATCTCAGCACTCCAAGTCTTTTATTTCCTCCTGGATACCAGCAAAGAAAGGTTTTTTTTTTTTTGCTTATTTTTCTTTTTAAAAATTGCAGTAGGCTACTCAATGTAAAATTTACCATCTTAACTATTTTTAAGTGTATAGTTCAGTTGAATTGAATACATTCACATAGTTATGTGACCATCACCTCCATCCAGGCCCAGACCTCTTTTCATTTTATAAAACTGTAAGTCTAGGGACTTCCCGGATGGTTCAGTAGTTAAGAATCCACCTTCCAATGCGGGGTTCTTGGGACAGTCCCTGATTGGGGAACTGAGATTCCACAGGCTGCAGGGCAACTACATCTGTATGCTGCAGCCACGATGAAATCCTAGTGCAGCACCCCCCCCCCCCAAAAAAACCCAGAAAAATTGAAAAAATGGTAACACTATTATATAGGAACTCCCCATTATCCTCTCTGCCCAGCTCCTGGCAACCACCTTTATACCTTCTGTGTTTATGATTTTGATTCCTGCATGTACCTCATGTAAGTAGAATCCTACAGTATTTGTCTTTTTGAGATATGCTTATTTCACTTAGCATAGTGTCCTCAAGGCTTATCTGTGTTGTAGTGTGTGACAGAACTTCCTTCTTAAGGATGAGTAATATTCTGCTGCACAGTAGAGAATGTCTTTTATTACTATGGCCTTTTCTGACAAAGGTCCATCTAGTCAGAGCTAAGGTCTTTCAAGTATTCATGTATGGATGTGAGAGTTGGACTATAAAGAAAGCTGAGTTCTGAAGAATTGATTCTTTTGAACTGTGGTGTTGGATAAAACCCTTGAGAGTCCCTTGGACTGCAGGGAGATCCAACCTGTCAATCCTAAAGGAAATCAGTCCTGAATATTCACTGGAAGGACTGATGCTGAAGCTGAAACTGCAATACTTTGGCCACCTGATGTAAAGAACTAACTCATTGGAAAAGACCCTGATGCTGGGAAAGATTG